CCTTTTGGCCATCAAACTGGAGAAGCAAATTATGCACTTGTGAAGACTGTTTGGTATGTATTCTGCTTTCATTGTAATCACTGAAGTTGGGAAGGGCAGGAAGGGGCTCCCACAGAAGCTTTGAAGAGAAGTTTGCAGATAGAAGACTGAGAATGTCCTTATGCTGCATTATAAGCACATAAAATCCCTTCCTGTGACATAAACACACCAGACCCTGTGGAACTAACGCAGTATAGACGAGCTTCTAAACATCTGTATTTCCTTTGCAACTCCAAGCCACTCTTGTTTTGGAAGTCATCATCAGGAAATGGCCAAAATGCATGATACAGAACTTAATTTTTATTCTTATTGGTGTTATTTGTGATACTTGTGAATCACTTGCCACATGAATGCAAAAAGGTATAGGGAAAAGCATCTATGTATGAGAAGTTTTGTAGTGCAAAAGTAAATTTTACATTATTCTCCAGAAAATGTATTCAGAGCTCGAAGTCCAGTTCCTGACAGATGAATGTGACACTGTCTTGGCTTACGAAAACAAAGGCACCAGCGATCAAGAAACAGACAGAAGAGACCCTTTAATGGACACCCTTAACAGCATGAACAGAGTCCAGCAAGTAGAACTCATCTGTGGTAAATATGAAAGTATTCATTTTTACCATCTGCTTTTTTACCATCTGCATTTCAGGTGATCAGTATCAGATCTTGCAGTTTACTTTGAAATTAATCTGAAATCAGCACATAGAAGACTATGACAGATTGCAAACCTCAGTCAGTGTAACTAGAAAAAAGTTTGTCCTCTCCGAGTGGTTGTTGTAACTTACATTAAGGAACTAGATGGCATGGAAACTTCACTGTTCAACCTTAGGTAGGGCAGTAATGGTCTTCTGACATGAACATTTAAACATCAATTTACAATTCTGCTTTCTGGATTCTTTTCCCTTACTCTGTTGTTTTGGCCGTGTCTGGGGCAGTGCCTTTCAGTAAGAAGCTATGGTGAAGGCTGGATCTTGGGATTTGTTCAACACAGCATATTGAATTTTAGCCCATTTCTCTGAAGGCCACCTGAACAGATCCTCAGAGGCCAGGCAGATCAACTATCAGACATCTCTTGTTTACCTAAACTTGTTTCATTCTTTAATTTTTGCTGTAATTTATAACCCAGTTCGAGTCTAGATTTCTCAAGTAAGACTAAAGGCAGGAAGTGCAACAGGCTGTCATATTGAACCAGTCGTGAACTAAGTCTCTATATCTTGTTTTCTTCTCTTCACTTCTCCATCCAGAATACAATGACCTAAAGACAGAACTGACTGACTATCTCAGGAGATTTGCAGATGAGGGAACGGTAAGCTGCAGCTTGCAGAATTTGAAGAACTGTGTGACAGAAATGGTATTTTAAAATATTGTTGAAAGATTTCAGATATTGCTGTGCTACACTGTAGTGGTTTTCTTCTGTTTCATGAAGTTGCTGGCTAATGCAGTAGAGACTGGACATTCCTGATTCAATTGGAATTTAACAATCTTGTTTTCTTAACATTGCTGACAATAATAAGTGTCTTACAATAACCTCGTAGGTTGTCTTCCTTGAAGAAGTTGTATTATTATTAACAAAAGCATTTTAAAGCTCAATATCAAGCCACATATTTGTTAAACCACCACTTAGTTACAGTGTGTCTGAAGCGAGCTTGTCAATTTTTGCTTTGTGTTAATTATTTTCATCATAAAAGCAAGCAGCCAAACAATTAAAAATACAAAAAGTTTTGCTCCCTGTGCTTGTTTTACATTTGGGAAACTCATTTCCCTCTTTGTATTCTCTTGAAGTGGAACTTCGGCATCAGTCATTTCCTTTGGGTAAGACAGGAAAGCTATTTCACTACATTTGTATCAGAGATTTCAAAATATTTCTAAATGCTTTGTGCACTGCCTATGGAATACATGTAAGAAACAACTTGGGTTTCCTATTGTTTCCCCAAGGTTGTTAAAAGAGAAGACATTCAGCACTTCTTTGAAGAATTTCAGTCACGGAAAAGACGACGGACTAATAGGATGCAGTACTACTGTAGTTAGAAGATTTGAGGCTGAAAGGACAACTGGGAAAAAAGTGTGAAAGAAGAGATGTTTTTTAGTACTTGGCTTCTCATCAAAATCCAACTATTGAAGAAACTGCCTCCACCTTCATTTTGTCTCATTTCCTTTCCTTGTAGCGCATAACGTGTTCTTAACAGGTACATTGCATTTATATGGATTTCATCACTGATGTTCTTTGAAAGCTGGCCTCATCTCAAGGAGGAGGATTGCTTATTGAAAGAACATTGTGCCACTGTTTATTCCTCTTCTCCTTTGACGTATTTTACTTTTAGCACCTATAGCTCTACAGCATCCTAGAACATAGGCATTGTACGCAGTCTGTGTTTTTCAAGACTGGAGTGCGTTGCTTGCCTGCTCTGAAAGGTTCTGTATCATCTCTTCTGGTTGTGGTAATTCTAGCAGATGCTCCCCATGCAAAATAAGCTTCTGTTTACTACACACAGGGAGGCATGTCTCCTTATGAAGTAAAGCAGGCCCCGGAGTTACGGTGTCTGTTGGTTTTGATCATGGTTGGTGAAACTGCATTCTAGAACTTGGTTCAGATCACGTGAACTAAGCAGCAATGTACTTCTGCATGCTAACTGCTGTGGAGGTACTCCCTGAGGAGGTGAAAAGTGAGGAATCATGGGTTCAGTCTTGATGCAGCAGAATGTTGTATCCATTTTTATAAACTCTAAATCTTGTTTCTAATATTGTATGGTGATGTTTTACATGCAACAATGTGTCACAGATTTTTATCTGCTCACTAAAATATAAACTATTGAGGAAGAGGTACTAGATGACAAAATAAGCAGTAGGGGGGTGTTGTCAGATCACTTCTAATTAGCTTTGATTTTAAAAACTCTGCTACATTAGATTGTTCCTGGAGACACTGCGACACCCTGGTGTTTTGTACAATATAAGGAGGATGATCTTTTTGTAATCACTGTGATAATCAAGGAACAGGAGATGTTTCACTGACTTCTTAAGAACTTAGTTAACTGCAATTAAGTTTTGTTTTTTCATAAGTTATTTTGAGCCTAACATAGGGCTTTTGTTTTCTATACTCACAAAACCAAAATCCTGCTTTAGGAAAGCTCTAATTTTTAAACTTTTGCTTTCTGTAATTGGAAGACTTGTTTGGGGTACTATTCTGCTTCCTCATTAATGAGACTTTTTAGAAGAATATCAGGCATTTATCATTTGCCCTATTGTTTTTGACCATTTCATTTACATAAGCTAGTTCTAACAAAGGCTCAGTTAATGAGTCTGTTTTCATGCAAAATGATAGTTGCTTTTAAATTTAACTCTGAGTATTGTATGTGCTTTTTTGTAGCAACTGTTACAGGACTTGTAACTGCATATCTAATTAAAGTATGTAAAAATTAAGTGACTGTTCTGTCTGCACGGTCTTGTTTTTTGAAATGCAGCTATAATGTTCCATGTTCATCCACGACCCAGCCAAACACTACTAGAGGGGTTGTTATGTCAACCATATGGTCGAGACCCCTGTGGGAGGCTGAGTCAGCTTGGGCCAAGCCAGACCTGCTGTTCTTAGAGCTTTGCTTCCCGTTCTGACCCAGTTCTCTGTGTGGGGGCATACATTTTTTAAGTAGGAGAAAACAGCAGTGAGATTGTCCTCTGCTTCTGTAATGAATTGCATGTAAACAGGGGTGGGGGCAGAAGGAAGACAGAGGCAAGGGCTGTCCTCAGTTTCATTTTCAAGTTCAGATCACCCTGAACTGAAACCCTACATTTTGAAAAATCTGCTATTCTCCCTTTAGCATATATTTCAATGCAAAACACAGCAACAGCTACCACAGCACAGGTGGTAATACAGCAAGACTCAGTCCCAGCATTCACTGTGCTCAAGAAATTAAAGTAAGTTCAGTTACAGGAACTTTGTAAATTGGAACAATGAGATACTACAGCTTTAGTCTCACACAAAGTCAAGACTGAAGCCAGGCATTGCCCATTTTTGGCACCAGCCTACACTAAGTTAGCATAGATTACCTGAAGCGATCATCAACTACTTGGGCACTGCAGCAGACAATTTCCCTTTCAGACTTTTAATCCAGGTGCACGTTCTTCCAAAAGGCTGTTCTCAAGGTCTTCCATGAAGTTCAGCTGCTGTTGTGAACGTAACGCCTGCTACAGTGAAATGCAGGTTTAGGAAGTTGCTCATAAAACTCATCTTCCTGGCTGGGGAGGGGGAGGAAGATGTCAATTAGTATTTGAGATCACACAGTACTTTTCCTCCCTGCCTCCCCCTCTTCTCTCCCCCCATTCCTCTTATGACAGGACTTAACCCAAAGTGTGTCACGGTTGCACATCAAAGAGTGTAGCAAACATTTTCACCTGCTGGATGACATGCTTCTAAAACTTGTCATTTCTTTGAAGTAGTAAAGCACAGTTGTTCCTGTGAAACAGATTTAACGAAGATCCGGGCAACATGGGATAACTGCAATTCAAGAGAAGAATGCTGTGTATTTAATTAGTCTTTGGCTCTAAGAAAATAAACATCTTCTAAAACACGGGCTAAGTCTGGCTGCCTTGCCTATGAATAGTCCTATTATCACTGATAATGAATAGCCAATTAAGCTCTAGCCAGAGGAATTCACTGAAATATCTCACTAAAGTGTTTTTTTTTTCTGCCATGTCTTGAAAGATGCCACTAATTTTAATTTTCTCTTTTTACAGTGGTTTGTATCATATCCTTGTCCAATGACCGTGTAACTTTTTTCCAGGACAGTCAGACCTTGTTTTTCTTAAGAGCCTTTCCCACAACAGGGCACCTTCTGGATGGTACCTCAGTAGTGCCCTTCCCTGAGCCCATGAGCCAGCAGGTTCAGAATCACAGCAACAGGCAGCCTCACCTACCACTCAGCAGCAGCCTGCCAAAGCAGTGCCTAATGTTAAGAAGCCACACGAGCACGTTCTATACAAGCCATTTATTTGAAATGCCAACTATACGTAGGATAAAGTCAGTGTTACATGCTTCTCAGCAACAGTAGAAAAATAGAACCAGTGAAAACCTTTTTACAACTGTAATGGTACTCAAAAGAGAAATGTATTGTTTTACAATGTATCACACAAGACTAGAATTCAAGTTTGGAGGTACCTAAATAAAAATACTATTTTTTCTTAAAAAACACTATGTACAATTGAAGCGTAAACAAGTTTTACAAAGTACTGGTTATGCAGGTTGTAGAAAAAAACACTTGCATAGGACATGAAGTCAGTTTAAGAAAGTTTTTCTGAGCCTTTAGCATTGAAGGCACTTGACTTTATACCAGTAACAACACAAGGACAAGAAACAGAACTGTGACGCTGCAGAAGGCAAAGGCTGCCTCCCGGAATACAGAGAATCACAGAAAACCCAAATATGGTTTTACAGTTTTATCTCAGCTGTCCCCTGCTTTTAGCAGAGCCCAGCACCACCTCTACCATAGAAGCATATAATTATTAGAAGAAATAACAGTGCCTCAAACAGCACGTGTATGCTTTCAGAAAACCCCAAATCAAAGAAACGCATAAAGACAAACGTTTGGGATGTTCTGGGACCCAAAACCAAGGCTTACAAGTAAGGGTGGCCACAGCCTTAGCTTTCAGAAATGAAAAATATAACAAGAAACTGCCCATCAACACAGCAGTTATTAACACACAACTACGGTAACAATAAAACATCTCAAAGGAAGAATCTGTTTCAGGAATTAAGTTATTTGTCCATATATTAAGGAAAAGAGGAAGGGGTCAGGGAAAGTGGAAAGAAGTTTTTGCATGTTGCTCACTACATGAAAGTCCGAGCTCTCTGTTTAGTAGAATAAGGAACACAAATCATCCTCATCTAAGAAAGCTTAATGTTCATACCCTTATCCTAAAGCAATGTATAGTCACTAATCCACAATCTCCATCAGATTTGTAGGAGGAAAACATGTTAATTTCCAGCCTAATCAGAAAGTGCTTCATGTAAACAAGGAGCTTTTGCACCAAAGTTTCAGTAGAAAGAGAACAACAAGAAGCAGGTAGCATAGGTGTGCGTGTTCTGTGAGTAAAATACAGGAAAACGAGCTTCTGATTGGTGCTTCCATGAAGAAGAATAAAGATGGTCTGCTCCCCTCCCTCCCCCCCCAAACCAACTAGGTAGGAAACTCCACCCTGGACTACAAAAACACAATTCCAGTAATTGGACAAATCCTTCTTTTCAACTTAAGAACAGCCACCATTAGCTGCTACCATCTTCCTAACTCAAAATATACAAGTGAAAACAGATTGTCTTTTTGGCCTGATTGTCTTTTTGGCCTCAAAAGGACTCGCCTTTTCTTCTGCACCTTCTTTTAAATACTTCATTCTCTCCTTAATACTGCTCAGCTTCTGAGACTTCAGAAGCAGTTCTGTATTTTAAAATGTAGAGCTGTCCTCCATTCCAGAAAGGCATTTCTCGCAGCTGATTCCAAAGCCAAACTAATCTATTACTTCCCTCACATCGTAGCCTCAAAACTTCTCAGTCTGTATCAGCCATGCACCCACAGATTTCAAGCTCAGAAGTTAAGTCTAGATTTCAGCCTCTCCTCAGCTCAGGCACACAGTGCCACAAACTACTGTGGATCAAAGTAGTTTCTTACAAAAGTGTATTTATGAATTCTAGGTGAAAGTAAGTTATTCAGGACAGCTGTCCTCAGAAAACTTACTAGGATGTTTTAGCAGTCAAGATACAACACGTGTATAATGCACATGCAGTGAGTTTCAGGTTCTGTGATGAAAGTTAATGCTTTAGTGCTCACAAGCATGAGACCAAAGTGTCTGGTTAGAGCTACAAAGTAAGACAGCACTGTGCTCAGTCTTCAGAATAAATCCAGTGAGCCTCAGTCCTTAACCACAGGAGCACTGCTCCCCCAGCACCTCCTGACATTTAACAGTATTCTACACGGCAGCCCCACAGAGGTAATGTGCACTGTTGATGAGGTCAGCACTCATTTCAACTGTGGTTAAAAAAATGGTTTAAAAGAGGCTAATGAAGGAAAAAAACATCTTCCCTCACCCACAAAACCTGCACAGTTCAGCTATGTTTCTCCTCCAACCCTACACTGTGCCTTTCAGGGCTGTGCCTCAAAAAGAGCATCTGCAGAGCTTTCATAGAAGCAGAAGGCATACATATAGAGGAGGCATTAGGATTTATTGGCTCAAAACCCCACGTCTTCAGTTCTTTATAAGCTATCTGGTAATTCTGGAATGCAATATTTAACATATTTCAGTAAAATTGTTTGTGGCTAGCAAGCCTTTCAAGCTGTAATAAAACAAAGATGTGTAAGAAAAACTGCCATCAGTTAAAAGTAAGTCTGCTACAAGATTTCTCTGAATAGTATTAAGCATTTTGAGTTGGTTAGGCAGGAAACAGCCTAACTTTGATTAATCTTGATGTAGTTATTAGGTGATACTTCAGATTAATGTTTTCAGCTAATGGGAAATTCCTCACAATAGAAGATGCATTAAAAATATAAATAAAATTAAAAAACCTCACACCAATCAGGTCTTTACCAGTAATCATTACACTGCAATGGCACCAGATCCCTACCTTACGTGTAATGAAGCCATGGTAAGAATTAAACAGTAAGTACTAAGGAGAATACACTGAACTACAACTGTCACACAGTTGCATTGGTGAATCTCAATCCAGTAGGAGGGAGCCAGCCCCAAATCCTTCCTTCTTTATATGATAGTATGAGATGAATCTCATTTCTGTTCTTTAAAAAAAAGTAAGGTAAGGGGATAAGAAATGTAATTTAAGAGTGCTAAAACTTCACACACAATGCTGGAATAGTTACTCTTCACTATGATTTTTTTCACAGAACAGTGGCAATTACAAGTCAGCAATACTTCAGATCAGATAAGGAACACTGAAAAACGTCTCTAAGAGTGAAGCCCTTTTTTAAACCATAGGCAGGAGAAAGCAAGGCAATGAGCAGTCACCTCAGCACCTCTGGTGGAGAGAGAACCCTCTCAACTGGAGAGTTACTATTCAGGCAACAGCACAGGATACTATGCCTTGACTTACTGGCACACCAGGAGTTAGTGTGAATCCTCAACTCCTCTCTTCACTTACTCTCAGGTAGGGGGCAGCTGGAAGAACAAGTTATTACTCTCCCTTTTACAGTATTTCTAGATTCATTTCTGTGTGGTCAAATAAACAACTCTAGTCTGGCTAATAAGTGTTTTTGGCTGATCATCAAATTCTCTGCAGTTAAGTGTGAACCACAAAGAAAACAGAATCAGATCCTGGTGAATTTTACTGGTATTTAGACTCCTAAATATCACCTTGGACACCTGAAATCTCATGTATAGTTCTTGGGGTGAACTTGCTGTAAGGTAAATAAGACCAGCTGCCAGAACCTTTCAAACAAAACATTAGACTGGATTCTTGCTGTAGTCATAAAAATCAGGAAGATTTCAGATCTAAAGAAAAAAATTTAACTGAAAATGTAGTGTTTTGATGTGCTGTTCTTTGGAATTCCTATAATTAAAAAATAAACACATTGTTGCTATCTCATAAGAAAATACATTTCATAATGTGCAGCTCAGTGCACATAGGGAAGCGGCAGGTGAAAGGGAAAATGCAAAAAGTATGAAAAATACAGTCCTTTAAATGTGACAATAAAGTTTAACAGATTAGTACAAAACTAATACACTAAAATAGATGTACAGGTGCAAAAGGCTACCAGGTTGTAGAAAAAGGTACCAGTTTTTTTTTTTTTTAAAGGCTTAATTAAATTTGCTAAGAAAAAAATGGTTTCCCACAAAATAAAACCAGAAGCAGCATTAAATCTGATAGCATGCCATCTGTAGTAAAGCAATGTATGTACAAAATAAAAGGATGAAAGTGAATTTATCTGCTGGCATGAATGAATTTGTCTGACAGAAGTCAGGCCAAAAGTTGCAAAGAATGGGAAGTTTACAACTCTTAGGCACAGAGAAATAGTGGAGGTTGCTTTCATAGGGCAGATTTTTTATACAGGAAGTCTGGTTTATTTGGAGACCTCCTTCCTCTGCTCACTGCATCTTCCCTTTCCAAATCCGCACTTCTCTGTGTTCCATGTTCCAATGGCTCATCATCTGCCATTCTCCTATTGACTCTCTCTTCTTGCATTTCAGAGCTGTATGCAGAGTGAGAAGGTCTGTTGGAGGTTAGCCCATAGGTTAAGTCAGTTTCCATTTTTGTTCTTCCCCTGATGTGAACTGGCCCATTACCAGCATTTTCCTGGGTAGCCAACGCCAAGTCCAGTCGCTGGGGAGGTTGTTCTAAGACATCGAGGTGTATTGGCTCATTCTTTTGTCTGTGTTGATGCCCATCTTGGGAGATCAGGTATTCCCTCCTAGAATCCTCTTGCTTTTTAGGAGATATCTGGGAAGGTAGATAAGCTGGCTTTAAGCCACTCGGTGATGCCTTATTGTGGCTATACAAATCTGGGCCATAATATATGCCTTGTGAAGGCAAAGGACTGTGCCTGTTTGGTGCTGGAGTGGAAGGTCTGCACGCAGCATTAGAGAAGTCATAGAAGTCAGGATATTCCTGCTGATTTTCTCGAGCATCTATTTTTTGCTCTATTGCATGTTTCTTTCGAGAAGTAGGCATGTGTCTGCTCTGAATACATGAAATGTGCTGGGGTGGACCAGGCCCTACCTCTGTAACCGTCTGGCTTAGCTCTGTATCGACAGTCAGCTCTGGCAGTCTTCTGTCTTTTAAAGACATGGCTGAAACCCCCATTGCAATATCTGGCATCAGTTCATTTAGCAAGGGCTGAGTGCACTGGAAAAGAAAAAGAAAATAGTCCACAAAAATGAAGCAGCAAAAAAACAAACAAACTAGTGAGGACAATTCCAGTAATTCAAAGTTACATTTTCTTAATCTACCTTTGCCTAGACCAATCCTAGCCTGCAAGTTTTTCTACATTATTTAAAGAACATATTTTCCAAATTCCACCCTTCTGCTAGCTTAAGATAACCTCTTATTTCACTCCTTTCTCCTCAAAACTATTGATGAACATACTCAAGTTTACATCAGCTCTCACAGCATCATCACTATATGGCTTCCTCACTGAAGTCTTTATTGCGCCCACATTCCCCAAAAAGATGCCTATGCAAATAATTAAACCCGTGAACAAAAAAATATCTAAGTTGAAGATAAATATTAGGGTTCACCCTAAAATATAGGGGTGCAATATATTGAAAATGATTGCTAAAGAAATAAGTTCATGCTTCCATTCAGAACTCCTGATCTAATCTGGATTTAGATAACAAGCTTTCACTATGACAGAACAGTGCACTGAAATAGTTTTCTCACTCAAGAAATGAAGTCACAAATTCTTTTTACTTCTTCCTATAACTTCAAAACTCTCAGTTCAGTATCTGAGATAGTTAACCATTTTCACTGTATTACTATTGCATAGTATTATAGTTCAGCAATTATGCTCTAACAAACTTCTCTGTATCTACAGTTACCATTTTCTGCTTGCCTAGTCATTTTAAAATGCTTTCTACATATGCGAATCCTTCACAATCTCCACAGATTCCCTTTATACACACCTGTTTAGTTTGGGGCTGCTTATCTGTGAATAGCCAAAATATTCTCATTATTTCTACCTCTGAATTACAGCATACAGTCCCTCTACAGAAGTTCACATGGAGCAAACTATGCTATTTCAGAAGCTTTACAAGCCCTGTTTGCCCCTCCAAAAATCACTCCTGCCCTTGGAACAGTCAGTCTTCCGCAGATGACACTTCAGATGCAGAAGACCTTGGTTTCAACAGAAAAGTCTCCTCACCAGTAGAGATGCTGCTGTTTTGATCAAGTCAAGTGACAACACTGTGTGAACTCTCTCCAGCTCCTCTCAACAAGCTACTTTGTACTGTCCGAGATAGGGAGGAGAAAACAGAATACTTACTGCTTGCTTCTCGGCTGCCATCACCGCTGCTGCTGCAGCCACAGTTTGTCTCCCCAGGCCTGTAGTGTTAGTGCAATCAGGAGGGGCTCCCTTCACACTCGGCAAGTAGACAGGAGGTGCAGCTTTGGGAGCCGTTCGGGAATGGAACAGTGAATGGTTACATGGGTAAGAAAAGGACCGGGAGGGATGTTGACTTGGCACCCTTTGTTTCCAGCCCACTTTGAACTGGTTGTGAATAGGAGTTGCTGGTGGGTGGTATGGAGGTGGAGGAGGGGGCAACGGTGGATGGAAGGCCACAAAAGAGTCCAGTTCTGTAAACAGGGTTTCTGCAGTGGGAGTACTGTTCACACGACATCGTCCAGACTGTCTCATAGTCAGGAGTGGGCTTTCGTCCCCAAACCTCTCATCAGGAAAGAATTTGTGAGGATTCTGCAAAGGAAAAAAATTATCAGTGACAGAAGCAGGAAGTCATCCAGAAAAAGTTCTGGAACTGACACACATAGGAACTCAATCTACTAGTGCTGTACCAAGCAGTTTTGCCACAGGAAACCTCAAAGCTCAAGGCAATTACAGCTACCATGGATTATATGTTATTTTTAAAAAAGGCAAGTAGCATCAGATCCACTACATGAAAAAGCTGACCAAAAAATGCAATTTGCTTAATAGCAACAAACAGAAGAAGAAGTGGCACCTGCATTTTCTCAGTCCTGACATGTTCTCTGCAGATCTACTGAATCACTTAAGCTGTTTTCTCCTGATTCCAGAAGAGATCAATCTAATCCTCTAGTCATGCTTTGACTAGTCTCAAGAACTACCTTTTGATTATCAAGAATGCAAACTGTTCATGTTGTTCACTCTGATTATACACCATTTAGAGTCAGAAAAATCATATCATTCTTTTTAGAAAGTTATTTTTCACACTTTAATGATTCAAGTTTACAAAAACAAAAGACAAGTGACAAATACAAAATCTCAGGAAGGAGCAGCAAGCCACTTTACATGCAAACATCACCACTTGCATGCTGAAGCTATCATACAGAAACTATTTGCCAAGTATCTGGAAGCAGAGAAATAAACTAAAATTCTGTAACATTTTATCACATAGTTCCAAACAAGGAGAAGAATCCCAAGTCAGTCTTTTCCTAGAAAACAGCTTCTCAGAGCCTTCAGTTAAAAAGAAATAAGTACCCCAGTGCTTCCTTGAAGAAGTAGGTAGTGTATGTTAATACTTTTTATCCTACTTAAGAACAACCCTTTAATGTTGTTCTACTGTAAATATGAGATTTCTCTTTGCTTCCAAGACCTGTGGCAGTAGGAACAGCCTGAATGGCAACAACCTTTGAGAAAAATATTCATAGATTGTAACTATAAATTTATGAAATCATCTCATTGAACACAACAGTCTCACTGCAATTTGCACCTGGATGGCTCTAAAATTAGAGTTATTTTAAAGCATCAAGATGTTGTCCACACACACAAAGTAGCTCTCTTATTGGAGATTACACATTCAAGTCAACTCATAGTCAGAACAGATCCTGAATGAAACAGTCTCTGATCTTACTACAGCAATTTTCCATACCTGCAGAAGTTCAGCAGCAGCATCAGAAAGTCCAAATTCCCGCAACACACGAATCTGAATCTCATAACTGACTGTGGCACCCTCTCCACAATTGAGAGCATAAGCTCTCTGCACCTGCTCAGTATGACGAAGCTCCTGCAGTCGTTTGATCATCTCCTTTACAACAAGCAGATTGGGAACTGGTGGGAGAGCAGAGAACAAAATTGGGGATAACAGATTACTTTTAAAACTGTGAGATACCAAGTTCAATTACATTACAATGGTTAGATTTAATTGAGAAGGAAAATCTAACTCTAGGATGACTAAGTTTGTCTTTTTTTCCTTTTTAAAGAAAAACATTCTGCCAAGCACAGTTCAACTTGGAACATCGTTATGGAATATGTATAATCATACAAAATGTACACCATTTTTCCAGCTTCTCCTGGAGTGAACCACAAATACAGCCTTCTTTTTACCCTTATAATGCAGGAATTTTATGATTTGAGGTAGGGGCAGGATATCAACCAGCAACTGACTGTTCCTTCATGAATACTACAGGCCAAGAATTCACTCATTTTTTTTGGCATTCTTTATACTTCTAGTGGAATTCTGTAATCACAAGACCACAATATCAGTATGTAACTACAGAAAGAGCATTTGAAAAAATAATTACACAAACTATGCCAACATAAACCTGTTAAATGATGATGTTTTACACAGACACATTGAAATCATTAAACAAAACCTTTCCAAAAGGAAATCATATATAATTTGGGGGGTATTTATGCTGTTGCAAAACTTTCTCATGCCACTCTTCACTGCTGTTTGATGACAAATTGTATTTCTTTGTGGTCTTTCTGCCCTCAGAAAAAAAATGTGCCTATCAAGAAAGAACACAAGTCCAGATCTCTGAATAAATAAGTCCTGTCATTTGCTGTGTTACCAGCTTTGCAGGGGCTACAAAGTACCATGACCATCTGTCCATAGTGAAACCTCATAAAAACTAAGCAATGAGGCAGCAAAAGCAAAAGTGTGAAAAAACATCTGTGTTACACAGAAGGAAAAAACCCAACACCACAGAATTACAATTGTTCCTGATTTCACAAAGTTCACATTGCTGCATATCATACATGTAAGTAGTGGAAGTTTACTTTTCCCCTTCCAAACTGAGTTCCTCCACTATGAAAAAAAAGGATCAATTCTATCTAGTCTTCATGGCTTGTAAATGTGTCTTTTACTTTATGCTCCATATGCTTCAATTGTTCTTAAAAATCCTGGCTTGGCAATCAGACATTAGTTACACCCAACATTTTACAAATATTGAAAAATAAATAAATGAGGATTTTAGAGAAGTTTAATTAGTTCTCCATATTATTGGGCATAAAAATCATCTAAGTTTATCATTAAAAATGATAACCCAGGAGGTTTTGTTTGTGCTTTTTTGTTGTTATTATTGGTGGTAGTTTATTGTGTGTTTTTTTTTTTTTTTAAGCAATTATTCATGTGAAACTTCCAGAAGGTATATTACATACACATGAAAAATACAACTTGGGTGCAGGATTTCTAATCCAAGCTGAAAATGGAAAATACTAAAGGAAATGCAATTACCTGTAGAACCTGTTCAACCTTCAGCAAAGCCTGATCTCAGTAGTGTTGCAACAGAAGTACCAGGACAAGCTGCCAATGTCCTTTATGCAAATAAAGTCAATCGGCAGCAGAACAAGCAAGATGCAAGCAACAGATGGAGAATGCCTAAACTGCAAGGCAGCTTATGTTACCAGAGCCCAGACCAAGAGGCATAGAGCTGATGATGCTTGGTTCTCCCTTCAAGAGCTCCCGTGCAGCATCTGTGCTTCAAGGACAGACTCCTGTACAAGTTAAGGGTCTGGAACATACCTGAATCTCCTCAAAATGGCTCTCATCTATCCTTCCTGCCTCAAAGAACTGGCAAAACAATCAAATCTTTCGCATAATAGGAGAACAAAGCAAAACAGGCAGTTATGTGATGATATCCATTCTCCAGCTACTGGCTGGGCTCACATCTATGCTCAAATCTAAGGCCTGACAATAATTCCTAAATATTACATTGTACAGAATCAAGCTGCAGTGGAATTTCCAATTGGCCAAGATGCATCACTGCCCCCCAGAGTCAGAATTTTTTCTGACCGCAAGAACTTCTGCAAAATGCTGCAGACCTCTGAGAACACATTTCTTTTGTCATCTTTTCCAGAAACCAAAATCTGGCAAAACCTTGTCCAAATCACATCTTCCAATTCAACTGGCAGTTGACAAATGAAAATGCATTTGAAGTTACTAACTACACACAGAAAGATACTTTGGCAATCCCACTCGATACATTCTTTCAGTTTGACACGGAAAGACCAAATACATAAATGACAATGTATCACAATGACTCTGGCTACCCTGTGAGTGTAAGTACAGGAGATACTTAAGTACCTACACACCCACCTGAGAAAATTTACTCTGTTGCACAAGGAATTAAGTTGGTTTGACTTAAAAGCCCAAGTAGATTTGGTAAAACAACAAAAAAATGCATTCTGAATGCCTACTTCAATATTTTTTTCTGGAAAACTGACTCAAGTTGACTGTTCTACAAGCTATGGTCCATCTACCGTTTTGATTTTAGAAGGTATTTAGCCATTTTACACCCTTCTGGATCTTATCCATCTTGGAGGGCTGGTGTAAATCTGATAACCAACCACTCTGAGAACAGAGAGCCAGGGTCCAGCAAATATTCTACAGTAAATTTAACTGTCCGAGGTCTTTCAAATTACTCAGCCAAAGCAGGTAGAAGTACTACTCCTTCCAGTAGCTCACCTTCTTACAAAATGTATACAGATGGCATAATAAATAATCTCAGAGTAGATCAAAGCAGGAAACACTACTGCTGGGTGGAAAGAAACAAACTACAAAAGTACTCCTCTCTGAGGAGATCGCAGTATTCACACAGTTATTCTCCCCTGCTCCAAAGCCCCCAGCCACCCACAGGAGATCAAACAGAGTTACCAGTGATGTAGCAGCCTTACCTGGGATTTCATTGGCTATGACTGAAGGAGGACTGGACTGGTTAGTACTAACTTGCTGGTGGGTAATCATATGACAGCACTGCGGCACGGCGTTGTTTACCATGTAAAGGGTGTCTGGCACATTGGACATTCGGACCATCCGCAAACGAACGAGATCAGTTTGTTCCACCATCATCTCATCCAGTACTGACTGCAACGACAGCCATTAGAGCCCTCGTGAAGGTATTGCACAGATCCACCAGGACCTTCTGTAAGCACTGCCCCAAGGCCACCTGGAGCTGCTGCAAGCACAGCTCCAAGACCACACATCTAAAGCAGGTCCCAAGCAGTATTTGACACATCCACACCATTTTCTACTCTAGTTTCCAGTCATTATTAACACTGGCTTTTCAAAGCTAACAGTAGGCTGGTGAATAAAGTTTGGGAAGATTGCTTTGTTTAATTTGTACATGTCAAAATGAAAGTATTCTCTCAAGGCAAACCTAAATGCTCCCTCAGACAGTTATGGCTCTCAACTCTCTGTACCACTGAAAGACAGTACCTTGAAAATGAGATGTGTTTCCCTTACATGTTTTACACAAGAGAAAGGGATTTATGCACACCTTTGAATAAGATTCTTATTTAACCTTATTTTTCAAAAATAAGGTGAACAGAGGGAAATAAATTAGAAGTTACTTAATCTGAAGCTTTTGCACTTCTCAGTAATCAAAATGAATAAGAATGGTTACCAAATAATAAACAAGAATAATTCCTCTAAGGTTAAACAACTACTTATGCTTCTTAGAAAAATAACAGCAAAACACAACAGAAACAAGTTGGACTCCTGACCAAAAAAAAACATGTAGCATGAACTTGAAGATTATTGCTAAAGCATTCCCATAACACACACTTGAAAACTGAGTGTCAATGTTTTTATTATACATTTTTAAACACATTTCTGTTAGTTTTAACAATCCAAGGTACAAAGCTAAGTTTTTAACTGGCTAGTTCTCCTTTGTTCCTGTAGTGCCACCTGGTGCTCTCTCATCTGTGCTCAAAATGCAAAATTATTATTTTTTCTCTCCTCCTCAAAGAGGATGTCACCATTCAAACCTTAGAAGGTATTTTCTGTCTTAAGCACAGGGTGAGAGATCTGAATTAGAGAGCAGTGTTCAGAGTTTCCAGGCAACGTGGACGTGCACAGCTTCACCTTATCCTATTGTTTGGCAGTCACCTGCACAGCTGGGACTCACAAGCTCACGACCTAAGATAAAATTGCTTCAAATAATTAGTAAGCCATCTATAAGGGTCCCATTCTGTCAAACAGGATATGGCACGGGCTCTTCAGTTTTACAGTCCTCATACAAGATATTGAATAAGGAAACCACTGCGTGAATGAGACACAAAGGACTGTACTCAAGTTGGGCACAAGATACTTATTCCACTTTGCACAGGACTGAAAGAATTCTGGTTTTGATTCAAACAACAAAATGAATTATTGGAATCCTCTGCCCAGTGGAATAGAGGTTCTCCACCCAGCTCTAGTGGGAGCTGGGGAGCCTGAAAGACCTGGCACCAAGGTTGCTGAATAGCTGCAGACTGGGACTCTCAGGCTCTCACCTTGCCATCCGCCTGCCAGGTGGGCTGCCGAGGAGCTGGGCCGGCAAACTGGCTGGAAACCAGGGAGGTTTCCCTCAGAACGCTGCTTTGTTTCCGGTGGAATTTCATCAAGATCTGTCTCGCAAACATTTCAATTTCGACAAAAAAATATTTTGTTGAAATTTTTCTGATCAGTTCTAGAGACTTGAGCCTGATGATCAAACTTGTAAGTCTTGTTAAATTGAAAATGTTAGTATTTTAGGCCAGTACATGCAAAGAGAGACAAAACACACCAAAATTTTTCCCTGTTTACAGAACCCCCTGATGACTTCAGTGTAACAACAGCCAAACGTTAATGATTATTACCTTAGCCTCCTCCACATACGGTGAGAACAATCTCGGCCGCACATATATTCCAGCATTTTTTTGTCGCAGCCAGGCATTCGACTTTCCACCTTCTGATGTTGGTAGCATGTCTGAAGGAGGAGTACTAATCAGGCCTCTCTTCATCTTGAAGAATGAAGACAAAATTTAATGTTTTATTAAATAAAAAGAACTTGAAAGAAATGTATTTGTTACACTGAATCCCTAACCCACTGTTTTTTGTATTTTTGTTTTAGTTTTGACAGATTTGAAGTACAAAAAAATACAAAAATCCATGTAACCTTGCATGTAACTCTTGTAGAATCCAAAATACAAAGAAATCAGAGATAATACTTGTATGAGATGACTGACTTACTGCATCACTCAGTACTTCACTACTCATAGGTAAGACGTGCTCTATGCGGACAAAAGGTAAAAGCGGAGACAGGATCTCTCTCAGCTCCTCAATGTCAAGATCTCTCCTCTTCACGCCTCTTTTGTTCACACTGTGAGCAGTACCACTCAGTAAATTAGGCTCTGTAGAAAAGAACAAAAAAGTTATTTTATACAAGAAAAATATTTAGATAAAAAATCATAAGTTATATGGCTCATAGGAAGTTACAGAAAATGTTAAAAAAACATCATTTCTCAGTATTGTCCCATAAAAGTGGTTCACACATTAAAATCTGATACAAAGCATCAGCAGAGTCAGCTGATTATATGACCACTGGCCATTTGTACAGCTGTCATGTTTAATGTGTAAGCTGGAAGAAACATGAGAGTAGCATTTGCATTCCATGCTCATAAAGCTTTATCCAGCTACGCTATAAAAATGTTTGTCTTGCTGCAGTTCCCCCAGTGACGCTCTTCTGCAGCGCCTTCCTTCTTCCCCACCAGTTTTCAGAAACCAATTTTCTACAAATTAAAGCCTGAAGAGACCGCTGGGATAAATTATTCCAGCCTCAAAGGAATAAAAACTCTAGTAACTGCAGCGTCACAACCACTTAAATTGCTCTCAAGTTCATAAACCATCAATTTATGCCAGGAGTGGAATATCTTTCTGAAGACTGCATAATGACACCATATGACATTCTGGGATCTTCTTTCCCCAAGTAACTACCTACTTTTACCTGTATTTTAAGTATTGTGCCCAACCTGAACTTGACTAACATCAGTCTGTGAGGAAACTTGTCAGACATTCCCCATTCAGTACAGGCAGCCCAAGTTCAGGCCACATGTTTAGTGCTTTCCAGTATTTGACTGGTATCACCACATTTACTGATGCAAGTGTCTTACATTTAAATAAAACCATGGGACTAAATTTGGTACCTGTCTCACAGAATTTGACAGATTTTATTTCTGCTTTTGTGCATCACATCATCCAATGATCCCAGGAAACAGAATGAGCTATTTACTTAATGATCATCACAGATCAGGAAGCTGCACAATTACTCCAAACAAGCAGCTATGCCACCATTTCAGTCAGCTTAACTTGCTCTATTACATTCCAACATGTATAAATCAAATATGTAAAATTTTGTTTCAAAAACAGAATTCTAGTACTTAGATCATTAAAAATCATGTCATTTAACTCTCTTTTGTTGTTGTTGCATCTCATCCAACACATCCAAGACAAAACAGTTGTACTGCAAACAGTAACAGCAGATTTCAAAAACACAGTAAGCCACAACCATCTTATTCCCCATTCCTTCTCAGGTAGGTAGGACAGACTGCTCATAATCTGTGAGGATTTTATTATCTCCAAGGATGAATACTTTGTAACTTCTCTGGGCACCCTGTTGCACTGATGCTTCTTCGCAGTAAAAAAAAAAAAAAAAAAAAAGGGAATTAATGCCTCATGGCACCCACTGAAAAGATGAGAGGCAAAGAAAAAAGCATGGCTGCATTTTCTTACTGTCATAAGACATGTCAGACATTGCTAAGATTCCCCCTAAGCCCATTCTTCTTGAGATTGAGTTACTTCAGCTCCTTCAGAATGTCTATGCTTTCTTTTTTTTCTCTAGAGGATAATTTATCCTTTTCAGAAGATTCTTGTCGCATCTAGTTTTGACTACAGTATGAGCAGTGCAGATTTCTCAGCTTCAAAGTTTTCTTAGATTACAAATTACCTAGAATAAGGGTTTAGAAACATTATGGTTTATTTAGTTTGACAGCACGTGGCTGAAAAGTATCCTCACCTCGGTCTGCTATTCTCTTCATCAACTGGTGTTCTCCCCATTTAATGAGATATTTTAGAATATCTTGTTCGCTTGCCTGGCAGAAAGAGAAAGTCAGCAATCCAGATATGATCAGTTTAAATGACACACATACAGACACAAATCTTTCATAGTTAAAAAGAAACAACTGTAGCAAAATAAATGTTTTATTTTATGTCTCCTAATAGTACTTGTTCCAAATATTTTAAAGGAGCACTACTGACATATCACCACTCTGATTCCTACATTTAAGTCATTTACTGAATCCTTAGGAAGAAGAAAAACAAGTATTACATCCAAATGACAGATTCAAAAGGGGCAATTCCAACACTGGGCATTGTTCAGATCTTCTATTTAGTAAAATTCAGTATCTGCACATTCAGTATCTGCACAGCCTGAGAAGTTATAGTAACTAAAATCAACTGCATGATGACCTCAAGCATACACTAGTCAAAGAAAAACTATAGAGGAAAAACTCACATAAACAAAAAATTAAGTTTGTTTCCTAACAAATAATTTTAAATAACCTCTAACACTCCATACTTTAAAAAGCAAGACTAGGACAGATAAAATTTAAAGGGTCCAATATTGTTTATGCTATATTTGGCAGCCATCACTAAAGATATATTCAACAAAGAGAAAATCCCCACAAGCTTTCCATTAGTCAGTATGGCTTGCTCTTCCTAAACCCACACTTGCTGAAGGAACATTACAAAGCAAAAAACAAATCGATTCCCCAGTGCCTGTCAGATAAGACATTTTTGTCTCCCCAAAAAATAAAACCTCCTGAATTTATTAGCTTTCACTGCCTCTAACTAGGATACACATTGTAGCAGTGTAAGTATTACTGCTACATAATCTTTTTTTTTTTAATAAAACATCTGAACATGCAAGGAAATGTTAAGTTCACAAAAGCTTTATTTAAAATAATTTGCATCTGTTTATAAGTTATTACTAATCCCTTCAGTAACAGCATATACCATCAGTTATATGGGTTATGTTACAAGCCAAGAACAAAATAGTTTTTTTATTCACTACTTCAATTTTGTGTTTTACTTCTTAAAAAGTAGTGCTTATGTACAAAGCCTTTGACTACAGTCTAAGGCTACTCACAAGTACTTCTGGCAGAGGCACAATACACCCTGCTTCAAGCAGAACTAGCTGTATTCCGAACTGCAGGTTACCTGTAAATAGTCAGACTGAATAGCTGTAAGCAGGTGGTCCTTGCTTAGTTCATAGAAGACATCTGAAGTCATGACCTGGGTAAACTCCTCACAGAGGAAATGCAGTGCTTGACGATGAACCCACTTCGAACCGTATGGCTGAGAACTCCACTTCAAAATGGCAATTAAGGTGTCTAGAGAGATGCTCTCAGCAATAATATCTTCACAGCCTAGGAAACAAAAGCAAAGCAAAACAAATCGATACAGCTGTTATAGAGGCACTTAGATCCTGAAGTGTCAAAATATGTAATATAAAGGATTATATGACTTCCATCACAGTTAAAGTGAGAATAAAACCAGAATTGCCCTACAGACCAAGATGTGCAAACAAGATTAAGTTCTGACTGAATTTTTAATTGACTAACTGTTTGGTCATTCACCTTTTATAGCCACAAGAAACATTACTTCTACTAGCATGCCAAGGTGAAATGACTGAAAGCTATTTCAACCACACTAGAACACCCTTTGATTAACACACATTAAACACACTCTGTGTTTAATTCACTTTAAAATTGCAGGTTTGAATACAAGCAATTACTAGTTACAGCATATTCAGAAAGGGCACAAAAGCCCTAACACAGGTGGGATTTTTGCTGGTGTCACTTTTCATGTGGACTGTAAGACAGATCGTGCAGAGGATCAGAAGCAAAAGCTGTGAGGTACTGCTTATACTCAGCTCTTCAGCACAGCACGAGGGCAGCAAAGCACAGTTTTCTGACTAGCAGCAAAGGCAGGAAGCAGTGAGCATCTGCTCTAGGCCGTTATCCCAGCCTGCAAAGCTAGAGGGGAGCCAGGACAGAGAGCACCTCTTCAGATATGGAACAAGAGAGAAAGCATGCAAGGAGCAGGTGCTCCACCTTGGGCCAAGTCTGCTACAGCTTCTGTGCTTCTGCTGCATTAGAATTTACTCTTTTGCAGAGTGTATTCTGAAGAGAAGAACAGGGTATTTTTCCATCCTGAGAAATGGTGGAATAGATTCAGAAGGACTGAGAGGAGATGCTGCAAGAGGCTGAAAGTGCAGGGAGCTGTGAATGCCCTGCTCACTGACTGTACCGCAGTGCCGATTTCATTTCTACATCTGGCTTACATACTCACACAACATGAGTTCTATTTGCACTATAAAGATAGCAACTTGAGAGAAATTCTACTATACAATTAGACATTCCAGTCTCAATCCACTACAGACACAAAATTAAAGCTGTATTCATGCCCATGAGAGGTCCCTGGATGGCTGACAGCAGAATGCTTACATTGCAATTATTTTACTTCTTATATGCTATCATTTTTAATATCCTTGTAGCAGAAGGGGAAGAAAAAACCTGACTTATATACAGAACTATATCTCCTTACCAAGCATTTGGATGAAGAAAGCATGTGATGCAGCAACCTTAACGTTTGTCCACACAAAGACCAAACAGACACTCCTGGTGCTACAGATTTTGAACTGCTTCCGTACAAAAAAACCCCTCAAAACATCAACTAATAGCATAAAAAACAAAGTCTTTCTTCTCTACTTAGGTCAGCACATTAAGTGTTGACACTCTCTTGCAACTAATAGTGTGAATGAGGAGTCATTATGAGTAACGAATGGGCTGTGGAAGACTGCAGGAGCAACAGTCACTGAAATGGGAAGCTTAAGCAGCAAAGGAAAGAAGGTAACAGAAAGTGCCAGTTGAAACAAAAAGGATATTATAAATTTTGCCTGTCCTATTCAAACGAGCATTTCTACTCCTACTGTAACAGCCAGCATGTTAATTAAAAGAATATTCCAATATTTATTTTCCTGAACTTACAAGTACAAAACACAGTGACTGTAGTATATACAATCAATACTTAGTGAGAGTGTTTGCAACAAGTTTCATCAATATGTCTGAACAAATACAGTTTCAAACACAGTTTTTATTTATTTTCAAGTAAATTTATGGCAATACTGTCCCCCAACAGTAATATAATTTAGCCAAGTTTATAACCAAAAAGCTTTCTTCAAAAGCACTTGGAATGATTCATACTTCAACACTCCTAATATGACTCAGATAAGACCACATGTATTAATGAAGCCACCAACAAAACATTTAATGGAAGCATATACACTTGTAGATGATGTATTAGAAGTATCATTATGCTATTAATTCCATGTTAGACTCTCAATTTGTCTTTTTTTTTCCCCTCCAAGGGAAATAAGTTGAACGAATTCATACACACCTGTTTTATCCTTTACCATTACTGAATAATGTAGAATTACCTCTTACCACCAGGTTACACATTTTAACTATGAAAAAGGAGGACAGATTCCTTACTATATGCGTGGGCCTCTAAACTGCATAGCAAGAACCAGCCTAAAGTGAGCTGTGAACTTGCAGCACTACTTGTTTAGAGGAACCTGGACCATCAACCTAATCAACACTGGGCTGGATGAGAACAGAGGACCAGAACCATTCTCCAAAATGCATTACTTGCTTTTTAGTACAAGTCAGAAACGGCCCTCTTCAAAGGTGGGAATCCTCCAGAAGCCTAATGAATATTGTATTCTGAATTCTTCAAACAATTCTGTTCAAGAACATGCAAACTAGTGTTTAAAAAAAAAGTTACCTTTGAAAATAAGCCCAAAACACTTCAGCACATCAAAAATATGAGCAACTTAAATCTGGATGCTTTCCATTTCAGAATTCATTTCTACTTCCATTTTTACTTGCACCATTTATGATTGACAATGCACTGAATTGTGCTGTCTCCACCTCCCCCACACCCCAACCCTTTTATTCTCCCTTTTGGAGCTCTAAAGATTGGAAAACATTACGTTTGCAACAAACTTGCCAAGGCCAACAAAGCTAACCCACCACTGGAGTGCCCAGTTACAGTAGGCTGCAAATAAGAGCTAACTTTCCTAAATAAGAAACATGCAGTTGTTTGAAAGGCCACTTGTTGTGTCTCACCCGGCTAAAATCCTATCCCAATTTCTTGCACATTCTAATTACTCTGCTTGGACACAGCCTGGTTTCAGCAGCTGATTACATCCCCTGAATTCTGATGATTACATCTAAGGATTGTTTCATTTCCAAGGCAATACATAGATTCATTTACTGAAATCAGACAAAAGAAAACTTGAACTGTAAGCACAAAGAGCCTTATCCCAAAGTCTTTCATGTCATTTCTTTATCCAGTATTTATTTTAGTATAGCTGTTCCTGTTGCAAAGAGAGAAAGCTACATATCCATGGAAAGGCAGTTCCGAGGATCCAAGTTCTACTGATTTATAGAACCAGCGCATCAGTTTGGTCTCAATCCTTCCGAGAAATCTTATTGTACAATTACCAGCAGAATGACATCAGATGAAAAGCTCATTTAGGATAACTAGTAAGTGGAATAGTCCTTTTCCCAAGTACTTCTATCAATGTGTCAGAACAGTGGGTATATTATAAGTATTTCCTCTGAAGCAAGTATGAGGTAACAGAAAAGTGTTTTTCTGAACACCTAAATAAATTAGGACAACTCAATTTTAGCCATGGAAGGAATACAATCTTTTTCCTTGGCCAAAGGCTTTCTTGCTTTAAGATTCAGACACTTGGCAAAAAAGCCAACAAATAGCCACAGTATTGTTCCCTACAGCGGAATAGAGTATTTTTTTCCTATGAGCACTGTTTCATAACTTTCAGGCAGCAACTGCTGTTTCAAGATTTATTAGCAATGTCCCCAAGTGCTCTACCACAAACTTCTCTGACCATCAGTATATTTCAAAGATTCTACTCGGAGTCTGGAGAAATGAATGATGACCTTATCACATTTTTGGACAAATGAGTCTATTTCACACCCTCTTCATGCTGGATGCCAATAGCATTAGGTCCTGCCTGCAAACAAGTCCTGTTTCTCCTGTTCCTTCTCACATGATCTACAGCCCTTGCAAGCAGAAACAGCTTGAGCCCACGTTCACCATACTAACCAGTAGCCTGGATCTTGTCAAGGCAGTTGACAAACCCACTGAACAAATTAAATGCCCTCAACAGTTTGCAAAAGCAGGATTAAGCAAAGATTTTACTAATTAAAGCTAACAGTTTTGTAAGTCATTTTGTGGCAGAGACCTTTCCCCTTAAACTCATGCATACCACACGAAGAAAAATAGAATTCATCTTGACAATGAAACAGGGTCTAGATGTTATTAAATAGTTTCTAAACTTTGTCACTTTAGAAGAGACTATGCACCAGGGATCCATGCTTTTGAATCTGCTAGCATGCAGAAAACAGTTTGAAGTCATGATATACAGCTAGTCTGGACTACCACATATTTAAAAGCTGCAAAGAAGCACTTTTCACCCATAGGCATCCTTGCAGTTCTGACCAAGCGTCTGGTGCAAAGAGAAGCGAAAAAGGAGAAAGACTTATTTATCCTCCTTCATGCATCTTACAAACCCAAGGATGCAAATGCGACCTGTACTTTTAGAAAAGTCCTTAGAAGGAAGCTCACACATGTAGGATGTTTAAATAGTCACAAAAGCTAACCTCCTCGTACAGCAGAACTAGACCAGATTGTCCTCCTCTTACACTCTACACCCCCTCCTCTTGTGTCACAGCACTACTCAGGTAGCCACACAGTCTACTACTCAACTCCATTCTGTCAAATTTGATTCCACATTAGGATTTGTGCAACCAGAGATCTATTATCAACATAAGAAACTGGACCAAGGAGACTGAAGTGGGCAGCATGGTAGTAGCAACCCTTGTGGCAGCCAAAAAGGGTTGAAATCTGCTTTGGATTTAAGTGATTTCAGAATTCAAGACACAGCAATACAAGTATCACCTATAAAAACAGTAAGAGCAAAGCAGAAGAGTTGGGTTAAAAACTTGTAGTTTCCAGCCTGTATTATTATCTCACATAAGCAGCAGTGTAACAGCCTGTACTTTACCATGTTTTAAATACTCCACTTTACTGTGGACCCATTGTTTAGTCCAGCAGTTACAAAACAAGATAGTTTCAGCAGATTGACTTTGCCAGTTGATTACTTTCATCTAATTTTAGATTTTTCAGTTTGAAGCAGAACACTAAAATTCAGAGCAGCTAGAAACCTCTAGTCCTCCTTCAAAAGAACACGGTGCTGCCAGGAGGGAACATTAACTAATGCCAAGCTTTGCAGGTGCATTTTATCCCATCTCACTTTCTGACACTGACAAAATAAGTT